CCCTGCTGACCTTGGTTTTGAAAATAGCAGTATAGAAAATAGTGTCAACATTAGGTAAGAACTAGAACCAAAACTCCCAATTAGGAGCTATAAAAATGTCCTTAAGGATAATGGAGATATTTTGAAATAAAGAGAGAGCTTTCAGTAATGAAAATATTATTGGGATATAATACTTATTAATAGAATATAATAAAATACGTTTTAAATTATAAAAATTACAATGTGCATTGTAGAATATTGAGAAAATATAGAAATATATTCAGAAGAAAGTGAAAAGTTTATTTGTAAGTCAATATAACCAGGTAATTACTACTACTTTTTTAGAGTATTTTCTTCTACTGTGTTTTCTATGTGTGAATTTATAATAAATTGGAATTATTATGCATACTTAGTATTGTATACTAACCATTTCCTCATCATAGAAATTGTTTAATTATTCAAAACATGATTTTTAGTGATTACATATTCTTCCATCATATGAATATAGCACAATTTAATTATTCCCATATAATTATACATTCAATTTTTTTTTTAATATTTTTTTTTATTGGAGAATTGGGGGATGGGAACAGTGCTGGGGAACTGGGGGAAGGGGAACAGACAAGTTGCTGTCCTTTTGTTCTTCAGTCTAGTTATGGAGGACGTTGCTTCACTGGCCCAAGTTGGCACCATCATTGCGCTCTTCCCTGGCAAGGCAGATCAGTCGCCGGCTTCTGGATGGCCGCTCACTGCGGCTGCTGGCCGCTCACGCTGGCTGCCGGCCACACATGGTAGCCCATGGCAACCCACTGCAGCAAGGGCTGCAGCCTGCACGGTCGCCTGCGACTCTAGGCAGCCCAGCTCCAGGTTGAGCTGTTGTTCAGCATCTTAGCTGTAGAGGGCAGTGTTACTGGTTATCATATGTGGGATCCAAACTGGGGCCTTCTGGGGTCCCAAGCCAGCTCTTAACCAACGCGCCACTCAGCCGGCCCTATACATTCAAATTTTAAAATAAATTATTGATTTTATGAATAATGCTGCAGAAGAAATCTTTTCCCATAATTCCTTTACATAAATGTAATTAATTGCATATGAGTCAATGCAAAAAGTAGACTTGCTAGGCCAAGGGATGGAAAAATTTTTATGGTGCTTTATGGATTCATTTAAATTTCTCTCCAGTTAATCTCACCAGCCATGATAAGAGGGCCTGTTTCATTGCACTCTTGTCAGTCCCAAGTAATATACTTAATAAACATACAAACAGTGACCTTCTTCAAAGTCCAATTTGATGTATTTTTGATTTGCATCTCTATTAGTGAGGTTGAAGAACTTTTCATGGGTTTATTTGTACTTGTGTTTCTTTTGGGAAAAGCCTCAGAAATCTTGTCTTCAAACATGACATTTATCTGTACTGCATGTAGATAAAATTAACAAAATGATTTCAGTTTCTCTATTTGCACTATTAAAATTTGGAAAAATGCAAGTATTTTGACAATAATGTTCACATTAGCCTAAGAACATTGACAGTTCCTTCTCAGTCTTCTTTGTACGGTCTTCATCTTCTGCTCATCCTTTAAATGTTGGAGTTCCTTAAGACTTTCACCCAAGCTCCTCTTCTCATTCATTCTACGTGGTTGTGATCTTAACGAGCTCATTGGATTCTGTTTCCACCACATTCTGATGCCTCCCTCACATTATCTGGAGCTACAGACCACACATCCAACTGCCTTCCAGACATCTCCACTTGGCTGTCCCACCGGAATCTCAAAATCAGCACATCCCAAACAGCTCATCATCTTCACTCACCTTCCCCAAACCTGTTCTTCCACCAGTGCCTCCGCCTCTGAGTGTGTACCCACCCAGGTACCCAAGCTAGAGACAGCACTTGGTCATCTGTGGTCCTCCCTATCACATCCTATAATAGAGCTTTTATCAAGAAAAGCAGAGGGAGGGAGCTTTTACTCTTGTTCT